ATTGTATTCCCCCAGAGGACCATATAAAGAACACAAAAAGAGAAGGACAGTGATGGGACACAGCAGCTAGGTCAGCGGCTACAAGCCAGATGACCACCTACTTGAATTATTCAAGGATATGTACTGCTCCCAATGTCCTAGTTTTCTTCCAAATATTCAGATGCTTCAAAGAAAATTCTCAACACTATTAGGAGAGCATGAGATCCAGTATGGTGTAGTGTTTTCGTGCTGGACTAAGATGCCAAGAACCCAGGGTTCAAATCCCTGCTGGCCCATGTGAAACCACAAGGTGACCGTGAGCAAATCACATCCTCTCAGCCTCTCATAAAACAAATGGTCAATCCCCTCTGAGCACATCTTGCCAAGAAAAGCCCATGATACGTTTACCCTAAGGATGCCGTAAGTTGGAAACAACCTCAAGGCACATAATAACACAGTTGGGAGAGTAGCGTTCCACGCTTGCAGAAGAACATTTGTTTCCTGGATGTCATAAAGTTTACTTATTAAATTTACAACACAACCCTCATCTAAAAGGGATCCTAGAGAGATTTCCCTATGACTGTAAGAGATATTAACACTGGGATTATAGAATAAAGGCAGTGTATTAGATAGGCCTACATATCCTGAAGGCACTCGAGCCCATCTGATCTTGGAAGCTAAGCAGGCTCAGCTAGGAGCTGGATGGGTGACCACCAACAAATAACAGAGGCTGTGGGCAATATTTCAGAGGGAAGCAATGGCAAACCACCATTGAGCGTTCCTTGCCTAAGAAACTCCTATGAAATTCACAGGATCACCATATAATAACTTGAATGCACACACACACTTTTAGCATGTTGGCAACTACTATGTGGAAAGCTGTTCCCTCAAATATTTAATATCTTCCCAGAGTTTGTAATTTCCAACAAGCCTTTTCTGTGCAGTCCTATGGACAATATGGTAGCGTTTTGTATTTGCTGGTTGTTTATTTTAAAATCTATTATATAATGCTTTAAAACCTCAAGATCTGAGCCTTTAAATATCCAAATATATTAAAAGAAACAAATAAACAGAAAAAGGTTAAAAACAAAACAACCATGTTTTTAAAAAATGTCAAGCAGAAAGGAGTGTTTTGATCTGGCCCTGACATGAAAGCGGTCAATATCAATCATATACTGTATCTCCTAGAAGGGTAGGGACTGGCTAAAGGTAGGGACTGACCACTGGCCTCAAAAACCAGCCGCGGTGCAGCCACTACGTTAAAAACCCTTTTCAATTGAAACAAGAAAAGCAATACCTAAGTTGGCCTTCCAAATCCACGGATTCAATTATCCACAGTTTGAAAATATCCCAGAAACATATAAATTCCAAAAAGCAAACTTTGATTTTGCTATTTTATATAAGGGGCACCGTTTTACTCTGCTGTTGAATATAACGGGACTTGAACATCCATGGATTTTGGTATTTTGGGGGTCCTGGAACCAAACCCTAGCAAATACCAAGAGCCCACTGTACAATAAACCTATTGAATTCAATGAAGAAAGTATCATAGAAGAGATCATTAACAAGCATAATAAATGATTTTAAAATGACACCAGCTAGGACAATAGAGTAAAACAGAAGGCTCACTTCACCCTGAATCCCCAGTTCCTCAATTCCATCCCCCTACACACACACACAGACACACACACACACTGCAAATCATTAAAATAATCTAAAATATCTGCACCCATGTATAGCCCCAGGATGGGAGCAGCTGCTGGGTAAGACAACGGGAAGGGATGGGACAAGGAAAGCGGAGGAAAGACCCACAAGCCTTTCCTTTCCCATGCTAAGGTGCAAAGGCTTCTCCATCGTGTCAGTTTTCTTTCCTTTTTTTTGAAGAAGGTACCAGACATTCATAACACTAATTGTTTTCTCATAGAGACGAGAGCAGACGAGGTCTCCTTGGGAACTGCCTGCTACATTTCTGCTTGAAAGGAGATCTCTGCTGGTGTGCCTCAGCTCCTTCATAAAAAATTTAATTAACAATATTTCCAAGAACGAAAACCACCATTAACGCACGGTCTGCAGCTGCCACGTGACTTCGCAGCTCCCCAGTACGGAGCGACGTATTAAAAACCTTAAGCAAACGATACCTGCCATGCACCCGGTGCCCAGGCGCACTACCAGCTGTGCAGCTTTAGAGGGCAAGCCATGATAAATGGAGACCACATGCTAAGCACAGAGACAGGGCTCTGGATGCCAGCATACAAGACCAACAATGACAGGCTGTTTCCCCCTGTCTGCCTACTCATTTCTTTGCAGCCACACATTTCTATTCAGGCTTAAGTTATGCTAGGAAAGCAAATCATGACAAACCAGGAACAGAGCTCAGTGCAAATTACAAGCGAGCAATACAACTGTGACTCTGGAGTCTTTTGCTTTCAGATGTAAACAGGAGGGATTACACAATCTGGAACCTGCATGAAGGAATGTTGTGCTACCCTATCCACACAGATGTGTTGGGATATGGGGATACAGGAAAAAGAAAGAATAGAGAGGGCTGCCTTGTATGGGCTTGGACTGTTGGTCTAACTAGTATTGCTGACTCTGACCGATCGCAACAGCATCTCAGGGTTTCTGGAAGGATTCTTTCCTAGCCCTAGAAACAGAAGCAAAGATTGAAACGGTGGCATTTTTGTATGCTTAGGCTGCAATCCTATATGGCTCAGTGTAGCAGAGTAAAACCACATCAGGACCTACTATAAGCTGAGCTATCTACAATTGGCCTTCCGCGTTTGCAGTTTGACTTTTGTGAATTTGATTCTTTGCGCTTTTGATTAATATGTTCTCTCTAGGTATCTGTAGGTCTTCCAATGCAACTCTGCCAGACATTGACCATAGAGTTGTGCTGGAGAACCTAGAAGTTCCAAGAGAAAGCACTTCTCTAGGCATTTGTAGATCCTCCAGCATGATTTTGGGATCAACTTCTGGCAGATGTTGACCATAGAGTTGCACTGGAGGACCTGGAGATTCCTAAAGAGGTGTTCTCTCAAGTAAAAAGGATAATGGTTTTTCCACATTCATGGGGGTCCTTCACCCCTAACCCCAGCAAATGTGGAGGGACCACTGTACCACTTCCTCAACCTACTGGACATCCTCTTAAGCCACCATAAAGCTACATGGACATGTCCTGCTTTATGGGAAGTGGGCAGGACAAGAGAAGCATCTGGCTATGTCCTTGTAGCCAGGTGCAAAATCATAACAGCAGCTCTGAAGCCTCTGGAGGAGCTTGATGGATCTCAGCAGTGATGCCATCATTTTGCATCTGGCTATATAGAGATGTTTGTGTGATCCTGCCCTCTTCTCATAAAGGAGAAAATTGCTGGTGGGGCCACTTCAGAGGCAGTTCAGTTAGTTAAGGCAGTTAGGTGCTGTAGAGGAGAAAATGCCAACCCCTGCTGAACCCCAAAAGGACAAAAAGAGGAAACTTGCATTTCCATGCATTTCCATATGTCCCTAATACAATGACACCCACAATGCATTACCATCAGTCCATAGTCCCTTCCTTTTTCTTATTAACAGAAACAAGAAATAGTCTCAAGCTGCCTTTAAAACGCCTTCTGACAAGGATAATATGAGGAGAGAAAGCTGGAGAAAGGCTGATGACATGGTTCTCCATGACCACAAATTTCCTAAGTACCTTAATAACGTCTGACACTCTCTTCTAAAAGGATCAATTGTAAAGCAGAGGAGGAAATAAATGTGAAAAAAGCATCCCACCTCACTATGGGGATGACACATGAAGGTCAGTATGAAACATCAAAATCAGCTCAGGCTCTTAACAGATTGGAAACTATGATCTAAACCTAAAGCACAGTTCTACTGAATTCAACTCCAACTAGAGTAGAATTCAGCAAGTCATCTTTCCTGCAATTTCCACATACTGCATGGCAATACTCTAATGATAAGTAGCACAGGATTTAGATCTAACTATATATCATCCCCAGGACAGTGCTGAAACAGGCATAAAGAAGTTTGCAGCTCGAATTTTGAAAAATGATCTGAATTTCACGGCAATTACCACTTGATTTGCAGGATGCTCAAAGGCTCCCCCCGAATATTATCCCAGCGCTTTATTTTTAGCCCTGGTTTTGAAATAGTTTTTTTTAAAGCCTGCATCACTGCACATAGAATACTAACCAATAGGCTTGATTTATTATCTATAATGTCAAACTTGAAAAGGTTAACCACCATTATTAGCCATCAGTGAAAATTGAGAGAGTCTGAGTTTATCACTGGAATACCGACAGCAACGCAGGGGAAGAAAAGGGGGGTACGGGGGTGAGGATAGGATGGGCACGTGGGCATCGTCATTTACATGCGCCAGATGGCAGCATGAATTCTTTCCAAGGCACTGCTTCCCTAAACAGCTCTCCTCGCATTTATAATTGAATACAGCTCAACACACAAGCATTGTAGTGTAGAAAGATGAGAAGATATCAAATGTACCTTATGAAGTGAAGACTGCACAGGAGGGAGTGGGGAGCACAAAGTATGTTTCACAGGGGTGTTGAATGGAAACGGTGCTGCCCTGAATCAGATCTGGACTAATGCCAAGGTAGAGTGCTGAAAGACCTTGCATGCACCAATTTTTTTTTCCCCAAAAGAGGCAAAGCAGATGTCCTGACAACCTGTGCAGATTAAATATCTCCAAGATATTTGCCAAAGAGACTACTTGTTTTTTAAATGAGATAATAACACATCCACACAGGCCAAAGCATCTGTCTGGAAACCAGACCATAACTGAGTCCTGAACTGGTGACCTCAGTGGGCTCTCTGCTTGTGCATTGCAATCTCTTTCTGGCCAGAGAAGCAAACAGCAGTGGGACCAGCAAACAAAGCTTTACTTACACCAATAGGTCAGACAGAGCAGGTCAGACAACATTCTGGACTTGCAGAAAGAGCTGCCAGGTCAGGCTGGCTTGCTGTGCTGAGCAATTGAGCAGATGTGCGCTTGCCAGCTATGGACCACCTCTGAGGGCTGCAGACCACGTCTGCCTCAAATCCATCCCCCCATTGCATCTCACATTATTTCCTAGGAAAGACAGCATGTTCAGAGAAGGGCGACCAACGTGGTAAAAGGTCTGGAAACCACCAAGCCCTATGAGGAGTAGCTTGGGGAGCTTGCTATGTTTAGCTTGGAGAAAAAAAGGTTAAGAGGAGGCATCATAGTCCTGTTGAAATGTCTGAAGGGATGTCATATTGAGGATGGAGGAAGCTTGTTTTCTGCTGCTCCAGAGAATAGGACACA